TGAAGGTTTTGGGTGCTTACGTTAATGTATCGGGCTTTGTAAAACAGATGAAAGCTTGACTAGATTCAACAATCTCGTTTACTTACGTCCGACCTACAACTATCGAAAGCAGCAGATAGTACTGAAGATCCCAGTGACGACTACGGTATCAATGTGGGGACACTAAAAAATGTTTCAGAGGTTCTGTTGAAATCTTAGCTGGATTCAATGACTTTACCAGGTGGAGCGTTGTCTCGTATTGGACCTAGATATAATCGTGTCCTAAGATTGGCAGCTTGAAAGTCTTGACTCATAGATGTTGAAAAAGTTAGGTGTCTCGCACTTCACTGCCGATTGAGCTTTGGTCTGTCATGAACATACCTCTGATACAAAAGCGCCTTTCGCGTTTGTACGAAACTGCAATAGCTTCTGCTCAGGATATAAGGTTGTCAAAACCGATTAGCAATGATATTGCTTAGCACCTGGAGCAGAGTTTGAAAGACAGAGGCGACAGTAAACAGCATTCTAAGAATGAGACTGATAACGCGATTGTATAATGCAACTTATCGAGCTTTCTCGGCTGAGTAAGCAGTAAATAATGGATTGCTGTGATCCCCAAGGAACATCTCTCAGAAGATGATAAATGATAGCTGCAAGGTGGTGAGAGCTGGTGGAGTAGACGAGTAGCCATGAGTTGCAGTTCAAAAAGGCAGGTACTGAAATTGTAAAGGCTACTCATCCTTGCCGCGGTGCTTGGTCAGCTATACTATTAAACCCACCGCGCATATCAGTGAGCCTTTACGAATTGGTGGCTGGAAAGGTTATGCAGACGTGAAGAAAGTGGCATGAGTGGTACCAGAGGCTGTAAGTCTCGGCATATTACCTTCGACAGAAGGTCTCGTTGGGCATGTGGAATCGGTTGGGCATATGTTTAAAAAATGTAAGACGGTATAGTATCGAATGGTACAGTTGGCAGCAGATGAGAAGCCATACCGTCTTCCATCTAGGTGTGCCGCCATTGAGGACACGCACATTTACATGTATGCGAAGAGTCGGATTGCTTTCCTCGACGAATCTAAAGAAGCTTGGATCATCTATAAAGAGAATATCACGACGCGACGACAAGATACCGACCACTCTTGTTGCCTTCACTTGAAGAAATGCGTCATGAAAGTGACTTCATCTATGAGGTCAAATACTTCGTCATACGTAGATGACTCTCCAATGAAGCAGAGCGGCGTTAAGAGATTGTTTTTTCCGTGTCAAACAGAAAACGGATTAGTGAGAGAAAAATGTCTGGCCTCCGGCGTCGACTTTTGTGTCGGAAAGTAGCAAATCACGCATGCTTTTAGTGAGTAAATGTGACCACCATTTTAGCGCAAACGCATATTTCTAACTAGCTTGTGCTGCAAACACTCTGGTAGGGTGTTCTGTGCGCAGCAATGTTGACTTTGTCATCACGTCTTACTAACTAATCATGCAAGTCAGTAATATCCCCTCATGTAATTAGCTCTTTGACCGAGATGCTATGAAAGTGGCTGGGTATGTCCTCGGGGCACCAATGACGTCTAACCGTCTAGTGATACAGCTATTTAGAATTAAAGAGTATACGCATTGGCCATTTCGACTAGATATTCGTCTACAGTCATGATATGTCAGTTATATCCCCAGAGTTGTTATTCGCACCAGTGAGGCTCAAATATTGATAGGAAGGGCTTTTTAGACAGCATAGTGCATATGCAGCGGGGCTATCGTAGCTTTTTTGCTTAAAGGAAGATTGGTTAAGGTCGGTGACCTTTGTTGTATACTTAGAACCAGTACAAGTGTAGCGGATCGCAATCTACTTACTCCAACAGTAATTACAACCTTAACCCAAGGCTAATTAACCTTCCGTTTAAAGCGTAAACTGTGATTCTTGGTTTAACTTGTGGCGAAGCCGTCTATATTTAGGTTCTCCTATTTACATAGTAAAACCTAGTTAGATGTATACGATCTGGCTGTTTCAGCCACGTACTTCCTTTTCTTGAAGTGTGGCCACGCCATTGTGTAGCCACATCATCTCGTGTCTCTCACACCCTTCATACCAGGGCACGTGAACCCCGATACACCCCCCACTAAGATTGTGAACATTTACAGTTCATATTCAACTGTCGCCTCGAGCATGGCTCGCTTGTATAAGCCGCCACAACATCACCAGGACCTTCTTCACGAATGCTCTGCTCAATGAGCCTTGTGTCAAGGACAAGGAAGACACCTAGCCTCGCTGGTTCCGATAGTGCCCGTGGGTAGAACCTTTTTTGTCTCCTGCACGCGGCGTAACTTCGGACAGCACGTCAGCGGCTTCAAGAAAAGCACAGGCCAAGCTCTCGGTAAACGAATACGGCGCAGCGCATTGTCAGCGACAGGGACGCACGACCAAGAACACGCGATGTGTACTCCCAACAGCGCGCCGCGCCCGCCACGGGCGATGTATCACCTCGTCGAGGATTCGGAGGAAGTCGACTATGAGTCGGAAACTCCTTTTTCCAGGATGAAAAGGAGAAGATGGCGAGGTGCCCCAGCGACGCGATGTGAGTCCTGCTCGAACCTTGCGGACGTCTTGCCCGTTTCCCAAACTTTCAACTTCCGGAAGATAATGACCTCGACGAGACACAGAAGCAGCAGCTATACGCATTAGCAAACGCCATTGCTATCAGCTCAAATTGATGCAAACACTTGTTGACAGTCTTCTAATAGCAAAACCACTTTGCCCATGCATCCTCGCAGCTTTGGAAACGCTTAGTGTTATTCAGTGTCCATTTTCTTCATCTCCAAGCCAAACGCAACGTGTAGCATCAGGATGCTGTCCGCAGGGCGGCTCCCATGCGCGCGCATTCACGTCTGTACTCGACCCTCGTGCGGAATGCGGCTTTTGCTCGGCGAATCTCGCAACGGAAACGAAAGACGCGATCACTCGATCGTTAAATGTCTACGTGATCGAGCCCCCGGCCAATACACACGCTGAGTTTGACGAACAAAAAACTCCCCAAGCTCGCTTCTAGGTTCCGCAAGGAATTTCGGTGGATACGTACCGCACTCGGCTACGTGTTTAAAGAGGAGGCGCTCCTGTACTCGCGATGCAGACGATTCCTGTGGTGCTCGCCCCTGGCGAAACCGCTGTAGATGACGAAGTGCTCTTTGAGCGATGGGTGCAGCGGCCTCGCTGTCCGACATACAGTTGAGCCACAAAAAGGTAGACTCGCCCGTGGAACGTCATCTTTGGTTTGAATTTGACAAACTCAAACCTGGAGATAGCTAGCGTCACGCGCTGTTGCTCGTTTTGGAGCATGGCCGATGCCATAGCTATCTTGGCCTCTCTCACCCAGAGAAATTATTTCTCTCTATCGTTACCCACAAAGGCCTTAACGCTCACCATGAGCGGCCTGGGTCGGAAAGAATAATCCGTCGTTGACGGTGGCGTCATAGACGCAGTCGACGCGGACCACTTCTGCGGTAAGCGCTCTAACAGAGCATTTTCATAGTTTGAGAACGCCTCTACGCGCGCACTTACAGCCTCGGGCCCTTGCGCAACGAGGTGCTCCACGCACTCAGGGCCCAGCAGGGACATCAGCTTAATAAACCCGTCATACATGCCATGGAGCAAATAGGAGCATATCTCCGTTCTCACAGAGGATCAGTCGTAACGACTCAGGCGTAGATTGACTACAAGTGATGCCAAGAGCAGCGAGACTATCGTAGCTCTTTGCTCAGAGGAGGCTAAGCTAAGGTCTCCGACCTTGCAATTTTTCCAAGTACCAGTACGAGTGTAGTAGATCGCAATCCGCTATAAAAAACAAAACCAAGGTAAGCGAACACTTCTGTTTAAAAGCAAAACTGTATTTAGCTGTTTTAGTTGCGGCAGAGCCGCCAACATCTAAAACCCTAGAATCTACCACGCGGTGGTTCCTTGTTACGGTGTTGCCATACCACTGTGTGATTACACTAACGGTGTAATACACGCCTATGTACGGTTGTGCGACCCGCCCTTTCTTACAAGGGCACGTGTAACCCAGTTACAGAGTCAGTGAAGATCTTATTGTGGGCGTATGATCAACAAGCTCAAGGCGATGCCGCTCGCGTGACTCAGCTTATATACGCGCATCCCACAATCCTTCGTTGGATTCACAGAAAGGTGGGGAGCAGAATGTTTTAGTGTCGGAGCCACAAAGGGAAAGTATATAGTATTGTACTAGAAATACAACCAAGCGACTCAGTAGCCAGCTGCTATAAAGCGATGTAATAGGATATCAATCTTCTCTCATGAGATCACTCTAGCACCATTAGCATCATTATACACAATCCTCACTCGTGAGACTTTTTGGCCGGGGATGTAGACTGTATCGTAATCACGCGAGCGCGCAATTGATATGATATGGAGATTGTCTTGCGTTTTCTGTTGCGAGTCAGAAAACCCTCGTGGAGCAAGTTTTGAGCTTCGTTTGCTCTTCGATTGGACTTCAAGTCCACATCAATGGACCACTTCTATGCCGCCTTTTGCCAGTGGACGGAGATGTTGTGCGTACCTCACACAGAGGCAAGGAGGAACATTGGGACCTCCACAGTAAAGATTTGCTAAGAGCAATCTCGGCCATGATATGGAGAACATAAATGCCTATTCAGCTTTGTAAAGCTATCAAGTGATAACGTCAAAGCGGTTGCCATATAAATAATTAGAAGGCAATACCCTTGTCATGTAGGAATGTTTTTTTTATCATTTGGTCATCACTTCGCCAGATTGAAATCAGAGCAACCAATTAGTAGTCACTGATTTTACGCTGTTATGAAGCCTAGACAGTAAACATGTGTCTGAATAACGCACATGTACTAAGACATGATCAAAGAAAAGACCGGTGGCATTCCTGGCAGAGACAATTGGACATGTATCTCGAAACGCTTTAGCAGTCCTAGAGACAAAATTCTGATAACTTTTATAGGCTTCACATTTAATCCACAAAGTTTATTCATACAAAGAACAAAATATTTTACTTAGTCAGCGATGCTCTGGTAGCAGCCTGGATAGCTGCATTGACTGTAGTCTCCAATTCATCATTACTGGCGCTGCTTTCATTATCACTAGAGACATTCGTGTCAGACGCATCAGCTGTAACATCGCTACCATCGTCACTGAGGGTCGTATATGCCGCAGCTGCTGCCGTCAACTCTTTGGTCCTCTTTTCTTTCTCTTTTTCCTCCTTACGTTCCATCTTCTGTTGCCGCACAGAATCAATCGTCCGAAGTAAAATAGTCATAATGTGAGCCGTCTCTTTTGGATTAGAAATCCATATAGTCGTAGCAGCATCTCGTGACCGAGTGTCATTGCCAGTCCTCGTGAATCGATCACCTACATGAAGACATTCTTGACCTTGGATGTTGCGCAGCTCTTCACTTTCGCGAAGTTCTTTGGGCAAGAAGCGGAAAACGTATTTCTGCAGTGCAAGAATTCCCAATGCTTTGTTACCTATATCTACCCAAACGTCATTTCCGCCATTAAAGGCACAAAATGGGACCTGGAAATGTCGAAGTTCGTGCTGAAGCGTGAGACTGATCTCCTCCAAGTTCTCGTACAATATCCGCTTCGTAGATGTGTTAATGATACCAATTGCTCGTTCTTTTCTTACGATCCTGGCTGACAAGTGTAAATTCATTATCATTTTCTGAAGTACAACTTCCGCAGCATCCAATAGAGCTGTCACCTGTTCCTCTGGCCAGCGCTCTCCTCGTCCGTCCTTCCAAACCACACCATTAATCTCTCGCAATTTGACCCTACCCGTTGTCTTGTCCGTATGCGTCTCAAATAGATAATTGCACTCGCCACCCATGACTAAAAATCGTGCACGTTCTTCCATCGATACGTCTTCAAGTGTATCTAAGATACCTCGTAGTCGTTCCTCGTACCGTCCTGGATTGCCTGGGTATCCAGCAGCAGTGACGAGGGATACAACTATACCTCGGTGCAGTAGCTCTACAATGACGTGCACCATTTTTGAACTCTTTGTAATGATGCCGCCATCTTCGTAGATCGTGTCGTCGGCATCAAAAGTTACAAGCTTGAGCTTGCCAGCAATGGCATTCGTAGTTGCCAAATTAAGTATATGACGCACCTCCTTAAATGTAGGTGGCACACGTTTTCTTGCTAAAAAGTGTGTACTAGCGTCATACTCAAGTGCAGCGCGTGTGAGATCCAGCGGTAGGAAAAACTTCTTATGGTGAGGTAGAAACTTCCTAAGGCGGCTGTGATCGGGATTCTTTGCGTTCTCAGCAATGAGCATACTCATATAGCGAAAAACCTCAAGCACTGACACACGCAGTTCTTGTTGATCACCCACAGGTGACATTATCCACTCACGTAGAAGCTCGATCATCGGATCCTGCTCCTTTAGCATTCTCGATATCGCAAAATGAAGTTTGGAGAATGAAGTGACAGCCGATTTTTGAGCTCAAGTCACTCTTGTGAATAGGGTACACAGCTGGAGGGTATGTTGAAAAAAAGGATTCAGAAAGCGTAGCTCGTTGTCCTAGAAACAAAAGCGATTCTTTGTATCAGAATCTAATCAGACTCCAAATATCCATCTCGTTCCAACAAACATCCGACAAAAAAGTGATTTTTGTGGCCATTTTCTACTGCTATTTCGAGAAAACGACCTGGTTCAAAGCGACGCAAGCGAACAGTATCCAAATTCTGTCAAGACGAAGCATGACATTTAAACTGACTTCTATCGAGAGTTTACGCGCTTGTGGTGTGTTGGAGGAGTCAGTGGAGAAACTGAATTTTTTAAGTAGCATCACGCCAGACATTTTGCAGCATCGCGAGGAATTGTCGCAAGTTGTAGGCGATGACATCTCTCGGATTATTCAGGAGCAGCGTCAACTTGAGAGCAAGTACGAGAAGCTTATCGCTCAGCGAGCAAGTTTGAAAGGATTAGCTAATAAATCAAAGTTTAAGAAAAATCAAAGTAAGATCGAGGAGGTTAGTCGACTACTACGAGAGTCCACCAAGAGCTTGTGTCGAAATTTAAAAGAAAATCCAAACTTTGCAGGAAATCTGTTCAAGATCCAACAGGAGCGCGAGGGTCTCTTAGAACTACTTAGTCACACATTAACGGAGATCAAAAATCGTGGGACGTTTGAATCGCTGGTTACGTTTGTAGCTGATGGCAAGAGCACAGAAGAAAAAGCACATGAAATATTCAAAAAGGAGCGTGAGGCAGTGGATGAAGTGAAAAAGCTTGGGGTGGAACTTGCACGTGAAAAATTAGAGCATCAAAAGGCGGTTGCCGACTATAAAACAGCAATTTTTGGATTAAAGGAGCAGATACTTGCATCTAAATCTAAGGCACAATTCGATATTCGATACGCGCGTAATGAAGCCAAAGCAAAGCGAAGCAGTACAGCGCGAATGTATCACCAACTAATTGAAGAGCAACAAGATCGTATAAAAGATCTGCAGGGTAAGTGTGATACTGAGGTCAAGGTGCACGACGAAAGTGTACTTTTCCTTAAGAAACGACATGAACAACTTCAGACAGAGCTAGCTGAATGGAATGTCAAGTATCAGCAAGACTTACAAACTAAGCAAACTCAATTGCAAGAGTTAAATGACCGTAGAGCTGCTAATTCACAGAGATTAGAGTCTTATCAAAAGCGGTGGCAACAAGAAATGTTAGCTAACAAGCTTAAGCAGGAGGAACGGCAAAGATTATTAGAGTTGGAGGCATTAAAAACGAAGGAGATTAAGGCGCAGAGCTTAGCAGCAAAAATCATTCAGAGCGTCTTCCGCGCACACATGGCAAAAAAAGAAGGAAAACGCAAGGCAATCAAATCCAAGAAAGCAGGCAAGAAAGGAGGAAAGAAAGGGGCGAAGAAGAAGGGAACGAAGTAGGCAGCAGTGACTACTTAGTGCTTTAATTTATAGTTTCCGAATATCACTTTTTCCGTCTGGACTGGTCGAGCAAATGGCGTTTAGTCCAGTTCTAATAGAATATCTTTTGTGGGGCCCACTTCTTCGAATTTGTACAGCAAAAAATGCCACCATTGTATCACACCGAGCTACACCATAAAAGTGTCCATGACATGGTGCACAACGTCAATGCCTGATTCGAGAGGTTTTTTTAGGTCCGCTCGTTTAGCAATGATGTGCTCATGTGACATCACGCCGCCAAAAAGAACATCGATCCGTCGCCAGCCAACGCTTTGCACTGACAAAAGCATACCACGCAATTCGTCTTGTTCTGCGTCTGACGTAAAAGCATACGGAAGCTGATCCACGATCACGTCATCTTCGATAAAAGGTTCTGGACGAGACACTTCTTGGCGTTGTAATGGCTTCGAGCCCATAGTATACCCGCGACGGCGGCTATGATCGAGATCTTTGTGTCGATCAGTGCCTTTTAAGCTAGATGTCGACTTTCTTTCAAAATCTGAAGCAGAGCAAGAAGTGCCTCCGCTGCTGCCTAAAGAACTAGTGATACCAATGTCGCTGTCTTCAGCTTCGGTTGCATTTCGCTTCTGCTCGTCTTCATTTGAAGGTGAGAATACAGCAGCCCGCTTTAGCTTTTTGCATTCCATCGCGAGACGCTGGATTTTAGGAGGAATCGTGTCTCGTAGTTTATGCGCAACTTTGAGCGAGTTGTGTACGATATGGGTGTATGTAGGAGACAATCTAACCTTCTTCGCGCTCAAACGATACGGGTTGAAAGCGCGTACTGCAGCACAAGTGTACGGAACTTGCATATCAAAAAAGATACTCGAATACAGAGTTCGTGCTTTAAACAATTGCAGCGCTTGATTAAAGTGGCCTCGTGTCAAACAACTGAGCAAAGGTGGCACGGAAGGCTTTCCAGCTTTTGCTTCATCTGGACAGTTTGTTGCTGTGAGGCAGCGCACACCAAAACTAGCGTTACTGAATACCACAAGCCATTTCCAGTCACGCTGCATGTCTTTTTCAGGAATACGAAGCACACACGTATACGTTTTGACAGTATCTACAGTATCAGAATTGGACTCGGTGGACCATCGGATCAGTACGTCAAAGTTGTTTTCACCATCAAATTTGTCGAAGGCACCATTTTGTCTAGTAGCAAACTTTGGAAACACGGCGTTGTCACCTTTCGACGTGCTACTTGGCAATAATATTTGAATTTCTGAGCACGAGAGATTAATTTCCAGCTTCAGCTCGTGCTTTGAATCCTCTATGTTATCATACACACAAAGCTTTCGGTCGCTGACTTTGCATTTAAAAACCTCAAAAAAGGTTTTGTCGTCTTGCTCCATTTCTGATGCGGGAAGACTAACTAACAGCAATCCTTCTATTTCGCTAAGAGCTGCCAAGCCAAGCAACAGAAGGTTAGAATGCTCGTCAACCTTTTAAAGTAAAGACCAAAAAATACCTGGATAATAGACTTTTTTGAGATGTCTGATTGAAGGTCTGCTTAATTTGATTGTTTCTTCACTTGCTTGATCAATAAGCGTGAGCTGTGCTCCCGACCTGCTGAAGATTTTGGGCATCAATGCATTAAAGACGACATTGGTTGCACCGCGACGAGGGCGACGGATACCGAGATGCGGTGACGCCAGCGTTATAAAGTTCTACACCGGGGCAAATATCATGCCTGTCAGGATATGGCAAGCAGTTGATATCGTCAATTCTTACCATCGGTTCGACCTTATCGAAGAAGCCACGACTTAATAACAATCCAATACAAAACCGATTGTACAACCCTCCAAGGGAATGGCCAATCATCGAGATTTTTTGTAGATTAGGCATCTTCTCTGCAAGTTGTTGAATCTCGTCAGCTATACGTTGACCACCTTGATCCACACCATCATATGTCCGGAAGAAGCCATTGGCATTGCTTTCTGTTGCGTGCAGGAACAACTCATCTGTCTGAAAATGCGTTTGGAATATTTCCACGAAGCGCGCAAAATCGTGCTTACTACCCATCAGTCCGTGTTGTAGGACTACTAGATGTGTAGCATATTGTAGTTCAGCGTTGTCCATATTATTGCAGTGTGGAGACCGCATGATTTCAAGAATTGAGAAGGCTTGCAATATGATTATGATTGTCGGAACCTTTATCATATAATATTTTAGATGTGCTCATCAAATTATTATAAGAATAGCAAAAACATTTTGATCACTTTGTTGCGAAAATGGTGCACCAATGTCCTTATTCTGAATTACTTCGAGTATTATGACTTCTAAATAATCACAAAAATGTGCATTATGGGCATAGTACTTAACTTTCATAAAACGAGCTGCTACTTTAGCTTGTATAAAAATGATTTAAAACCATCAAAGATATTAACTCTAAAGAATCCCTAACATAGTCATCACATCTCCCCAAAAATGTCACGCAAAATGGGTTTCATCTGTGATGAGCGAGTTCGCTGTCTAGACCGATGGGAAACACTTGAGATATCAGGAACAAGCGCTTCAATATCGTCGTTACCATTAGCAGCAGAGCGTTTAAGTATTGAACATTCCACATTATCACCTAATTTCGATTCAGGACTAGTGTCTCGTTCAGACTCAGGTTCGACAGCCGCGAAACTTCCTAGTACCGTTTTAAGAATTTGAATTGCGTCACGAGGTAATTTGTATCCCCATTGTTGTTCTTGTATAACCTTTGACAAAACGTGAAACAGGGCACTCCCACCACTAAGTGTTGACTTCGATCCAACTAAAATAAGCTTCTGCTTAGCACGCGTTAGAGCCACATTGATACGACGCCAATCGGTAAGCAATTCGCCCACATGCTTTTCTTCATTACTTCGAACAAAAGATACCAAAATTACGCTTTTGTCCTTACCCTGATATTTATCAATGGTGCTCACTTCAATAGAGTGCACCAAGTCATGTCTATTGGCTCGCTGAAATGAACAAACCGTCTTCAAATGTTGCTGAATCAACGCTACTTGAGAACGAAATGGAGAGATTACGGCGATTTCGTCAGGTGGGACACACCCTAGCACTAAAAGTTCCACCAACCCAGCAATAATTTGTGATTCAACAATATTTTCCATACGTCGGCGACTATTGGGCCGAAGCTGTACAGCGCTAGAGCTTTCTTTTGTTACTTCACCCATTGCGTCTGTATCCAAGAACACAACACCTCGATTGTTCGACAGTATTTGCATCGGCCACATATACTTCAGTCCAGATATATCTCGCTGTTGCCATCGTAATGTAAGATGGTTCGAAGCAACTTTATACGAACCACATTTAAGCTTGTCGCCGTACACCAGTCGATTTGCCAACAACATAATGTCTCGATTCATTCGATATTGATACGATAATTGTTGAGTTGCTTCTGGATGAGCCTCAGCCAATTTTCGAAATAAACTCACATCCATACCTTCTTTACGAGCTTGAGCGTTTGCTACAAGTGGCGGAAGCTGATAGTGGTCTCCTACGAGTACAAATGTATCTGCACAACGTAAAGGACCCAGAACAATAGGCTGTGTAATTTGGGTAGCCTCGTCGACAATACAAAAATCAAATCGACGCTTTGCAAAGAGCACGTGACTGTTCACACTTAAGCAGGTACATCCCACCAGCTGAGCATTCATCATCTTGGATTCCATGGCCCGAACACTCACAATTTTTTCTTGTTCAGCTTGCCGAGTGAGTGTGAAGGCAGCAATTTTAGGATGCACTTGTGCACTGTCGCCAATACGAAGTATGGGAAGTTCATATGCAAGCAGCTTTAGTAGCAAATTGTCCACTGCGGAATGCGTGTAGCTCGTTACGAGGACTGAAAACCCAAGAAACAGCAGCACTCGAACGGTAAACGCAATTGTCGCGGTCTTGCCTGTTCCCGGCATTCCAAGTATCAATGCATAATCGAGTGAATTCAACACACGCTGAACGGCCTGCTGCTGGTCAATGTTTAATGCATAAAACGCATCCAACAGCAATTGGCCATGTGCTGCTACGCTAATGCTTGGTAGATTCGTAGAAGAGTCTTGACAACGCTGCGTGATGAGGTCTGTTATTCGACTCACTTTAAATTGTGGCCGAGTAAGGTGAATAATCAAATTTCTTCGTCTCGAGTCACCTGCACCAGATGCGCTGTCTTCGTCATTATCATGACTATTTAGCTGTATCGCTGACGCCAACCGCACCTGTAATTCCGGTCGCTTCGCTACGTTTGTTCCTGATGTAATGGCCTCAGGAGGAATTCCAATAAACAGGCGCACAAGATTTTCCTTTGCACGTTGCAACCCACTTAATATGGTATCTTTGTCTAGTCTCCATGTATATTCCTTTCCGACCACAGAATGGCCACTCTTTACTATGGACGGGATATTTTGACGCGATTCGATTGTTATAAGTCCATGCTCAACCTGGCGAACCGTAGCACGAGAAACATGAAGTAGCATCCTTTTTCCGTCCAGCGATTCAACCGATAGGATGACACGTTCATCCGCTCTGAAGTGCACGCCTGCAAACGATGTTGGCTGAAGCTGTGTACTTAACTTACTGTTGTTCCTCGGACCAGTATCGCATCGCTTTCGCCGATCGCGCACGAAACGCAATATTCGTTTCCCTCCAGAATTTGAAGGTGCAGGTGTATCAGATACTAATTTGAGATGAGCAAGGCACGTACTACTCGCGTGTGCTTGCTCACGTTTCCATCCAATTTGAAGCCAAAGAGAGCGTAAGTTCTTTTCAGCATGTTGCTGCTCTAATTCGATAAGGCGAATCCACTGCTTAAAATAATTTAAATCTTCTTCACCAAGATGCTGCGTCTTTAAAGTGAAGAGATCGTCAAGACCACTAGATTTCTCTGTGCCATTTTCTGTTGCTGCGTGATGCAAAACGCATTCGTCAATTTGAAAACAACGCTCGCAATCTCGGCGGTTGCGTATCATGGATGGATAAACCTGAGTAGATGATGAGCCTCCAATGGACTTGACTCGAGCAACGGCACTAGCAAAATGGTTGCGAGTCATGATGAGTCCACGAACATGAGTAGTAACTGCTGCAATACGGTTCGTCTGTATGGGTGGCACATAGATGAGTAGCCCATCCTGACACCGTTGCCGATACCGCTCGTTAAGTAAAAGTGTATAGAGAAGTACTTGACCTTGGTGATCTCCCATAGTTGTCTTGATCCCCGTTTTAAGCTCAACTGGAAAAACTGTCTTTTCTTGACGTTCACAAGACCCCGACACAAGGATTGTTCCCTCAACCGACGCATCTGTTGCACCCTTTAGTCCCCACTTAATGGACCACACCATTTCTTCTGTCGATATCACTCGATCTACATGCACCTTTGTTCGATTATTCGACGAATCTACGTTTAACGGGGTTCCAGATCCGACAATAGCGGCGCTAATCCAAGATCGAAATTCCTCGATCACCTTCTTCAACTCCAAAAGAGCATCCTCTTCATTTACTTCACACTCCACGAGACCTAGAATACTGCTTACAAAACGATAGTTAGGTAACTTATCTGGATCCGACTTAGATTCACATAAGTAAAGCGTACTTTGAGGTTATAATTCGTTTTGCTGCTTCAAGAAAACTCTCAGAACTATCCAAGCCATGAAGAAGTGCAAACTCAAAGAGTTCATGTTTCAATGTACCCCAAAAAGCCTTCTTGTTCGTTGGACGACTTACAGCTAGGGTTTCCTGAAGAACTGCTCGTCGCAAGCACCCAAAACTTGTCGTTACCCTAGTGGGTGAAACCTAAACGATGACAGCTCGTCATCAGACAAACCCCAACAAATTTGTATCGTTAAGCGATCGTACCAGAATGTCTGGATGTACAACCACGATATTGTGTGCATTATCAACCAAAATTTGCTGACTATCTACTGGCATTCCGATTCCGTCCTGCGAATAAAAACCATCCTTGTCCTGCTCAGTAAAGACAATGTTGATCGTATCGCCCGCGTCAATGATTGAGTCATACCAGTCGTCTCTCAATATTGCCTCATTCTGCACATCCTGGTCATCTAGTAGACGCAAAAGAAGTGAGCGATTTTCATCTTTACGATCCACCTCAAGCACTAGAAAGCGTTTGTAACTTTCGGGCTCAACTAGTTGAAGAGCTGAAGTAATCCCTTCTTGCGATCGCACCTCTGATACGGCATCATTAAGAAAAGGCACTGGCGAAAGCGTCTTCTTCATCATTTTATGCGCAGCCGACGGCATCGGTCGCGGAGTTAGTGCAAGGTTCTGCGGTGACACAATCTCCGTCTTTGACTGTGGAAGTACTATATTCGCTTCAGTTTGTGCTCTCTGGCTCTGCAGCTGATCCAATAATGCCCACGACTCGTCCGTCAAGTCATCAAACGGATCCGAATCAATCACAAATACTTTCTTTTTGCTAACTGGTTCTTCTTCGTTAATCGATATCAAAGCTTTGACAACCTCCTGATTTCTGGGTCGTTCCTGTGTCTTACTTGCCTCCTGCGTTCGCAATGAGCGTGGTGACAACGTCCCTGTAGATGAATTGCTAGAAGACAATGTCGACATCAAGTTCCCGTTCTGTGTCAAATCTAAAGCTTCTGCAGTTTTTAAAGCCTGCTGGGAATGCTGATCTTGCGGCATTTTTACTCGCAACGAGAGCCTTGAGGCCACTCCATCAGGACTCGCATATTTTTCTTCCATCTGATCTAACACATCAAATAGCTCGTCCTGAGTAAAACTCGACGTCCTCTCTCTTACGTCACCAGTTTTCGAAATGATATTCTTCAAATTTTCAGCTACTGGCCAAAATGATTAAGCAAGTCAAGATGATGACCTTTTGAAATTTCATAAAACAGAGCTACCTTTTTTCTCTCCCAACTGTACTGTCTTCCGGTGCGTGTGGCCACGCTCTTGACTCTGATTCTCGTCATCTTTGCTGTGAGAGGGGGGCGACTGCTGACTAGCACGTGCCAGCCGTCCCACGAAACCCTGCATTTCTCTCCGCACCGCCATCTTTCCAGTACCCGACACTTTGATTTGCTTGTCCGCTGGTGAATCCTTCCATACGATTTTAGACTCTTTGCCTCCTGACACTGGTGTGCGATCAATCGATGAAGAAGTTGACGTCCTTTTCCTGGCACGTTTAGACGTACTGGAATTGGGCCATCGGCGCCTACGCTTCGGCGTGCGCGCCGTGTCCATTGGAGCCAAAAAACCACCTGTCGTAACTTCTAGCAGCTGCCTAACGAAATATTTTATCTTGAATTTTTATGTGCGCAGGATAGTTAAATTGCCAAAAGTTTTTATTGATGGTTAATTTTTAAGTCATTACACAATGCTATGTCATACACAATTTAGGGCCACTGTTTCAAGATACTCGCTCGACATTTCATCACTACTCACCCATTTATTCGTTTGAATGGCGCACACGTCGCAATAATGAGTAGAGAAACGCGACTTTAACTGTTATGCCATAAGTATGTATTCCTATCGTCCTCGGATGTCGATTGAAGCTCAAAAATGGAGACTCAACTCGGGGTGGGTTGTCAGCCATGTTTATCGAGCTCTCAGTGGAAGGAAACTACGTTTTAGTTAGCCTAATATTACTAAAAATCAAATTAGACAAATTACAGGCAGTTGAGCATTAACGTCACGCTAATCAGGTGTCGCCAGATGTCGACGTTAAGCTTTCGGCTTGGGACATTTTAGTCACAAAGTCAGTATTCACAGACTGATACTATATTCGATAAGTCACAGATAGTCAACACATTTTGAATCTGGGGCGTTTTGCAATTTCGAGCAGACATCACCCCAAGCATAATGAGTTTGTTATCAAAATAGAAAACAGTAAGTCATGACAAATTGAGTGTATGTTTAGCTTGTACCATTTGTTATGGGGATGTTGGACGCTAAAGTTCAAAGCCGTAAGTATTTGTGGTCAGTTAAAGGGAAGCAAGTGAGTGTATGTGTGGCCGACGGAGCATTCCTTGCCTAAATTAAGCACCATCTAATCTCATGACTTGGTGCTTTAGACCAGTGGTAGGCACTCGTGACTGATTGTGCTATTCTGTAATTGTGGCGACTATTAGTTTGTAGACCCTTGGAAGTTCGTCAAGTTCACTTTAATTTATCAAGCGAAAACATACAATTGTTCTTTGTATAGGAGATTTAGGTTGTACACATTTGCGGGTGAAAATGCGAAGTAGATGTTTTTTTCTGGTGACAATTCATGAGTTTGATCTCGCCATACCACTACTACACATCGGGTCCAGAGCGGCTAGAAGACGGTAAGCGCATATATTATGGTTCTGTAACGTAGCAGCCATCTAAGCTATTCTCTTTTCTATAAATGGGCGTTCTGGACGCACCAGTGGTACCGTTGGGATCTCAACTTTTTCGATGGATTAGTCAGTTTTATTATCTGCTTCATGCTTTTGCCGTACTCCAATCTAATTGGCAAACCGTGTATCGAAAATCTTGTATAAAAATATGATAAGAATGGTTGAATCATGTGGTAATAGAAGAATTAGCCAAGGCCAGTGAATATGATGGGTGTGCAAAGAAAGAAGTTTAACCGTGGGAGATTGTTAGATCCCGAACAATGGGATCAGACAATCTTAGGTCGGACTTTGTCTGACAAAATGCCTTTCTTCAACTTCGATAAATGTGTCGAATTCAAAGTCGGACGACCTGAGATACCTCATTTCAA